GTGTGTACGTCCCTGGCGGTGGTCCTGCTGCTGGGTCAGTGATGGGATGGGGCAGAGCCCCTATTTCCTTAGAGAACTCTGAACCCAAAGAGGGAACTGAACCACCCACATGGTGAGGGCTTCTGAAAACCCTGTGCAGAGCAAACTGTTGCCCTCCTCCTCGTACAGTCGCTACCTCCTGACCCTCAGGGTGGCGCTGACTTTTGGTTGGAATGAAATAGATGCTCGTGATGGAACCTTGTTGGTCTGACGTGATTCTCATTGGACTATGTCTGAGAGCAATCGCCTTCCTCCCTCTGCCCCAGAACACACCCACCATCCACTCACACCCCTTGCTCGCTTGTTCTGTCTCTTTTCCACTCCTGGTCCACTGTGGGTGAGTTCTGATGTAGGACTCCTGGCTAGGCAATGGCTGGCACATTTGTGGTGTGTGTGTAGAGGGGTAGGCTGTCTTGTGTGTCTATGCATCACAGGACAGCATGTACACTGTCACTGAAGACGTATGCCCTGCTCACCTGAAATCCCTGAGGGATCCTCTCACCCATGGTCCTGTGTTCCAGATTCTTCATGCCTTCTGGACCCTCTTCTTGGGATGGATAAAATCCTCCCCCCCCACCTCCCTCTGAGACAGGTCTCACTATGTTGTATTTGCTAGCCTGGAGCATATTAAGTAGATCAGGTTAGCCTCAAATTTATAGAGATCTGCTTGCCTCTGTCTTCTAAGTGCTAGGATTAACAACATGCTCAGAGACCTAAAAACTCTCAACCCTCTTTCGTATACACACTCAGATATCAAAGATCACCGGGGACCAGTGATGACACAGGACGGGGGGTGGGGGAAGGAGAGCACACACGCCTCTTTCTATACTTCTTTGCTTTGTCTAGCACCCTTTTTTCCCAGCTCAGCCTGCCCTGCACAAGATTCTTGATACCTCCCCACTACAGACCCTTATGAAGCTGGGCACCACGTAACCACACACTTGTTATCCTCGACATTGGAGATATAGCCAGTTTCAGCCACGGAACTGGGTTGTGGTCCAACACGTGGAGAGAAGTCCTAGAAAGGAAACTTGAAAGAAACCGATTAAGTAGGGGGTTTTGTTAGGAAACAAGATAAGTCAATGAATGCGGTGCGAATAAATAAGTAGTAACAGGGCAGTGTATTTAGAGTTAGGGGCGGTGCTTAAGAGGACCGAAATGAGCTGGGGGAAGAGAGAGGCAGGGAGGGGAGACGCTAGGAAACTGGAGCAGGGACCCAGGCAAGGTCTGGCCACAGTTTTGAGGGCACAGCCTAAGGGATTCCAAGGCAAGCCTGTACCCTTGTCCTCGGGCATTTTACATAGACCTGGGGACAAAGAGGCTACCCGTGTGGAGGAGCCACAATTAGCAAGCTAAGCACCGAATTGGATCAGAGTAGCGCCGTCTTATCTAGCTACGGAAGTGCAGTCCAGGAACCGGAAGTCTTTGTCAGAGACTGACCCAGGAAGCGCAGGGTCTGCGGCCTCTTTAAGAAGGGGCGGGAAACAGCGGCTGGAGGAAGTGAGGCCGCGGGCTCCGCGGAAGCCGGAAGTTACCGTCTGAGCTGCGCGTGGGACAATGTCTGCCAGCGGGGCTGTGCAGCCCGGACCCCCGGGAGCTGCCGTCGGGCCCTCGCCCGCTGCGGCTGGGTCACCAGCCACCGGGCCTTTGTTCCGGCCCCTCAGCGCCGAGGATGAGGAGCAGCAGCCCACCGAGATCGAGTCACTGTGCATGAACTGTTACCGGAACGTGAGTCTGAGGCAGGGGGACCACCCAGCCTTGCACCCAGAGGCAGCTCTGGAGTACAGGGCGTAAACAAGGTGAAGTTTTTCTCCCCAACGGTGCTTCTGCTTCCTTAGGGCACGACGCGACTTCTGCTCACCAAGATCCCCTTCTTTAGAGAAATAATCGTGAGCTCCTTTTCCTGCGAGCACTGTGGCTGGAACAACACCGAGATCCAATCAGCAGGCAGGATCCAGGACCAGGGAGTGCGCTACACCTTGACCGTGAGGAGCCAAGAGGTGAGTGTAGACCAGAGAAGGTACCCCACAGTTTCAGAGAGAGCATTGGAGGCCAGTGTCACTAACTCTGGTTCAGACCAGCGGACCTTCATCAGACCTTTACCAAGCCCTTAGTGCCCTCCTTTGGCAGTGGTGTTGGTGGTGCTGGCCTCTGCTTGGCTGCTTTGAGTGGTGAACGTGCTTTGTGAATTTTGTGGGAGCGATGGAATGAAAGAGCTGGACTTTATGGGTGGTGTACTTACCTTCTGGGTAGTCAGGCTGACACCATGTGTACTATCTTGAAGTAGTTTGGACTTTTCTGAATGGAAGGCCAGAAGAAGAAACTTCTGGGTTGGCTTCTGATGGAGAGATGGTCTGGTTATTTCCAGCTGTATATTGCCGACCTCTTTTGGTAGAATGCCTTTCTTTCTGTCTAGGACATGAACAGAGAAGTAGTGAAGACAGACTCGGCCACCACAAGGATCCCAGAGCTGGATTTTGAAATTCCAGCTTTCAGCCAGAAGGGAGGTGAGTTTTAAAATCAGGTGTGTGAGCTGTTCACACCTTGATGAAATGTTTCCCTTTTTCTTGCAAAGCCTGGTGTCGGGCAGGCCTAGTGGCTTGTGCCTGGTCATGTAGTTATGGTGGATTTTCGTGCTTTAATGTGAATAGAAAGTTACAGTAAAATCTCTTGAGAGTCCCAGTAGTAAGGCAGGCCATGGTGTGCTTAGTTTGCAACTTTATAGATGAGGAAAAGGCGGCCTGCAGAGTTCAGGTAACTTGCTGAGGGCTACGCAGACAAGTGATAGCCTGCTTGCACTCACTTGTTTTATGTTTCATTCACAAGCTCTGACCACGGTTGAAGGACTCATCAGCCGCGCAATCTCTGGCCTGGAACAGGACCAGCCCACACGACGGGTGAGCAGGGACGAGCAGAGATCTTTATCAGATTGTAGCAACTCAAGAGATCCTTAAAGTTTGTGCCGAAATAGAGTCAGATTTCTGTGTCGTTGAAGTGTAGCAGATCAAATGTTGGGGAACCTTTTTTTTTTTTTTTTTTTTTTTTCATTTTTTGAGACAGAGTTTCTCTGTATAGCCCTGGCTGTCCTGGAACTCACTCTGTAGACCAGGCTGGCCTCGAACTCAGAAATCCTCCTGCCTCTGCCTCCCAAGTGCTGGGGTTAAAGGTGTGTGCCACCACCACCCGGCATTGGGGAACCTTTTGACAAAGCACATAAAGGAGCCAGTTCTCCGTGTTGTCCTGTCCCGTCCCGTGTTGTGATGTGTCCCCACCCCCCTGTATACTCATGTTTCACTTCAGATAATGTAAAATTACTTTCCTGAGTATTCTTTTATATCTATACTTATTACTATAAAAATAATGTAATTGCACATGCTGTCATCCGTCTCTAACTGGCTAGAGAGGTATAACAGAATTTTGGATTTCTGAAGGAATTTATTTTTAATTGTTTGTTATGTGCCTGTGTGTGGGTGTGATGTATATGTGATGGTAGTTACCTTTTTTTTTTTTTTTTTTGGTTTTTTGAGACAGGGTTTCTCTGTGTAGTCCTGGCTGTCCTGGAACTCACTCTGTAGACCAGGCTGGCCTCGAACTCAGAAATCCGCCTGCCTTTGCCTCCCAAGTGCTGGGATTAAAGGCGTGTGCCACCACCGCCCAGCGGTAGTTACCTTTGTAGGCCAGAAGCAACAGCTCCCCATGGAGACAGTTACGGTGCAGTGGGAGAATAAATAAGAAAATAAGCCTCACCTCCTACCCCAGCACCATTTATAAACTTCAGATATGCTTCTTGTGTCTTGACTGTGAAATTGGGGTCCCTGTGCTCCCAGTCTAAGATGGATGTTAAGGATCTGACAAAAGGGCTGCAGCAGTCGGAGGGTTGGGGCGTGAGGTGTACTGCCAAGTCCACACCTTTCATTCTGTTCCTGGCAGGCAACGGAAGGTGCCATAGCAGAAAGAATTGATGAGTTCATCGGTAAACTGAAAGACCTAAAGCAAATGGCCTCCCCTTTCACGCTGGTAAGTACTGAGCGACTGCAGCCGCTTTCAGTGTAAGGAGGGAGGGCAGGGTCCATTGACTCTGACTGATGCCTGTAACCACAGAGCTTGGCAAGCCGAGGCAAGAAGAGCAGGAGTTTGGACTCATCCTTGACTTCATAGCACGTTATAGGCCCAGCTGGGCTATGCTGAAGCCCAACCTCAAAATACTAAAACCTGACGAGGACTTTTCTAGCATGGTCCAGTGCTGGGTGGAGGCTGTACATGGTTTGTTTTGCTCTTACCTGCTCTTCTCTTACCTGTTAGATTATCGATGATCCCTCGGGAAACAGCTTTGTAGAAAACCCACATGCTCCCCAGAAAGATAATGCCTTGGTGATCACGTACTATGACCGGACCCCACAGCAAGCTGAGACGCTGGGCCTCCAAGTAAGTGGACTGACCAAGTCAGGGGGATGCTTCGGAGTTGTCCTGTGTTCTGGGTTCC